GCTTGTACTTACTCTTTGTGTATGTCGTTTGTCTTCATGGTCCTGTTCGTTTCACTTCAGATCTTCAACTTATACTTTCTGTTCTCTTAACGATGCTCATTCGTATGTACTTGCTAGTAGCACATAACCCAAACACTAACTGACCTCACGTGCCATTCTAGAGTAGTCTGTTCCAGCGGTGGGTATTTTGAATTCTACGAAGTTCGTCATATACCTCTCCCCTGCCCTTTGCATGTCATACTCTATCCCGCCCTTCACTTCTTTCTCTCCTGCCCTTTGCACTCCACTTCTATCCCACACTCCCATAGAACTCCGCCTTCTATTCCTTTCCCTCCGCCCTCCCCTTGTGTGCTACTAGCAAGTACAAACGAATGAACAAGTTCTCTTAATGATGCTCATTCAAATACATTGATCAGTAGTACACAACGGTAGGGAGGAAGGGAAGGGGTAGGATATGGAGCTCTATAGGGAGTGAGGGGTAGGGGAGGGAGAAGGGGTAGGGGAGAAAGTGGAGTGGCAAAGGGCAGAACAAAGATACGACGAATTTACAGGGTTCTAAATACTCACCACCGGAAAAACTTGTCACAGTGATCTCTTTTCATAACTACCCTGTCAAAATACACAAAAATTCTATTCATTTAACCATTAAAATGAATTTGTTACGCTTATTCCCAGAAAAACAAAATCATTTCGAAATTTTTGAACACCTTCGTGGGTTTCATGTGACTCTTGTCACTTCAGCTAAAACCCAAAATGAAACTTATATTTTAATTCTTCCTGGATTTGGTATTATCAGTCATGTGGTTTCTACTTTTTCCAGAAAGCCTGTGTTTGGCTCCGCATCTTCACGGAGAATTCAATTTCACTGAGCCCATTTTGGAGACAACGGGGCAGTCGTTACACCATTCGTGCAGGTCGCTACTTATGCGACACAATTGTGTTAATTCAAAATGACCCTGGTAGTCCATGCCGTAAACGATGAGTGTTGGTCCTTGGTCTACGCCCGGTGGTTTTTGGGGGCGATTCGATGAGTGGCACAAGGGGCTAGTCAGTGTTTGGGTTGCAGAAAATTGGAAGTTGAGCAGCAGCTGTTGCCTATGGTAAGTGACCACCCCTTTTTTTTTTTTTTAACAAGTGCTCCAGTCTATTCGTGGGGAGCAGCACGTGCTGGGAACCGGGCCCAGCGTCCCATATAGAATTATACAGATCATTGAGAACATTTGAGGTAAGCGACCACCCCTACAAACCAGACAGGACCGGTTCGGGTGTAGACTGTGGAAGCACCACATCCAATGTTTGCAGTTGCAGATTCTGCATCGAATGGCACGGCGAGGACAGGTGCCGCGGGCTATGTGGCTCCTAAATGCTACGAACAGAGAGGCACGCTGACCGCAATTGTAGAGGCCTTGCCTTTACAGCCCCTGTCTACAAATTGGGCATGACATGTCAGGGTGCCATACATGAGTGCAGTATCGACTGTCATCATATATATGCAGACAAAAACGCACATGGGCTATCCCTTCATAATCCTCACGGCGCAAGGCATCCAAACCATATGCTAGCCAAATCTGAGGTGGGTCATCACAAAGCGGTATTGAGCAGGTTTCTTGGGTTTCCCCAGTGTTTATACCCTCTCTACGGGCGGACGACGACAGGGATTGATCAAAAGCAAGGGTGTTAAGCTGCTTCGGTCTGCAACAGCTCGCCATGGTGTTGATAACCTTTCAGTACAGCACACTGTAGGTGTTCATATGGTAGTCTATTTTCCTCCTCAGGCTGCTGCGTCTGTTGTCCATCTGGCAAGGAAGAAGGAAAACTGTTTGCGGTTGCAGTAGTTTACGCCCAACACTGCATGTGGGACATGCTAGGAGAGCATGCGGTGGAGGATGGCGTCGAGGACAGTCCACGCCGTACAGTCACATACTTTCTATGACAGTTTCCGGGAGTCATTGACGTGTGTGTGTGTGTGTGTGTGTGTGTGTGTGTGTGAAAAATACCAAATGCAAAAAGCATCGACAACCCCAAACAAGAGGGGAACAGCATTAGCTTTCAACTATACAGAAACAAGAAACATGCAGGCCAAGTACTCAGTATCTCATACCAAGGAACTCGTATGCCAATCAAGCAGGAGGGGATGGTCGGTAGCATAGAAGGGAGTGAGGCAGGAAGGGGGGGAGAGGCATGAGCCATCATCCGAGGAGAGGAAGTAGGAGGTGAGYGGAGAGTAGGGATGAGAAGGGAGTGAAAGCTCCATCACCCGTTGGACCAATCTCCGTCTGGGKAGGRGGGGGGTAGGCGCGTCCYCTTAAGCGCTTTTCGCCATCCGCGCCAATGGATGGCTCATCAGAGGGTATGCAGACTGGAGGTCCATACTCTGGAGAGAGAGGGAAAGGAAAAGGAGAGAGAAGAGAGAAGACGAGAGGGTGGTGAGAGGAGAGAGAGATACAAGAGGAAAGTACAATTATGGGGAGGCAGGGAGTGAGATTTAAGAGGGTTGGGGGCGACAGTGGAGAGGAAGAGACTAGAGGGGAGGAGGGTGAGCAGGGGTGGGAGGAAGGATAGGGWWGGAGAACTGGTAGAGACAAATGGTGAAGGYTGTTACCAATCAGCAAGTGGGTGAGRAGGGGGATGCTTACCACATGTGCGTTGATGTCCGCATCCGAAACGAGGTCTTCAAAGGCATCAGCCATCTTTGGCGAGTGCGGGAGGACACACGTATCCTACCGAGGGAAGGTGCGAACCGTCCTTCTGCTAGGAAGAGCAGGAAGGAGGAGGCGCAGAGCAGATTACCTCTCGTGCTATGAAATGCAAAAGAGGTGGTCATGTATGTGAACCCAGAGGCCGCAGCATTCGGGAGTTCTTCCTGTGATAATGCAAGATGAAGAGTAAAGGGATGCGGGAGGCAGATATAGTTTTTGCGAAGCCGGAAGAAGGGGGAAAGAAAAGGAGGAGGAGGCCTACTTCATTGGGTTTGAGGGGGAGAGGGGGAAAGAGCAGGGGTAGAAAGGGGGAAGAAGAGAGGCGAGCGGGCCATGTCTACCGGGGGTATGTGATGAGGGGGGAACGACCACGGACGTGTAGGGGGTGCGGAAGGCGTCGAGCAGGGTCTTCTACGAAGGGCGGGCGCTGAGAGTTCTTGGACTGCCGTTGGGATGTCCTTACGTTGGAGCTTCGTTTCTGCTCGGCGTACGCTTGCGTGGCTAGTGGCCGGCTTCGACGATGGCGGAGCTAGCGCGTGGGCTTGTCGCATCGTCTGGGTATGGGGTGGTGTCTCTTCGCGTGACCGTGTGTGTCGTGTAGACCGGAAATGGCGGATGGCTGTTTTGCCGGATGGTGGCAGCACCACATTCAAGCGGTAGGGAGTCCCTGTCTTTGTGTGTTGTGGGTCATGGCGTGTCATATGTGTGTGGTGTTCTGCAGCGGGTGGGGTTCGAAGAGGGCAAAATTTTTGTCCTCGCCCCCTCTTTTTGGGGGGTGTTAATGATGTATTGTATTCTGAGGCTCGGAGGGCTAAGACTTCGGGGGGGATTATTTTTGGTGGGTCGGGCGGTTTATTTTAAACTTGGTTTGCAGGTTTACAAGTGGCCCTGCTCCATGCGTCCTTCCGTTGTTTCAGTGGAGTTGGGGTGGCGTGGTATTCCAGGGAGGTGAAGTGAGGGGTGGGTAGGGGTAATGTGTGGGGGTACCGTTCAGAACTGGTTTTCGTTGTGTTGCACTGTGTTGCTGGGTGTGCATAGTGTGTGCCCGTGTAGTGGGGTGGGTGGTACTTACCCATGTCAAATAGTTATTAGAAGGTTTGATTTCTTGAGAAGAGGGTGGTACCGTCTAATGCAAAATAGCTATTTCATTTTAATAATTTATCCCTCTATTTTCTTTTTCCAAGTATGTGTGTGTGTGTGTGTGTGTGTGTGTGTGTGTGTGTGTGTGTGTGTGTGTGTGTGTGTGTG